AAATTTTTGCTTCTTGCCGCTTTGCTGTAATTTGAACAATAATCAGATAGTGCATAGAAGAAATTTGGCCTATGTAGACCAACATTAGGACCATTTTGGGCCAAAATTTGTTTGACCACTCCTCAGACACATACACACTCGACAACTGAAGTCATTTCATAAACGAAGAACACAAATTTGAAAAAATGATACAACATTTCTGTAAAAGTTAAATTATTTACACAAAAGGGTCCCACTAGGTGTACCAGTTTATTTACTGATATATAATTTTAAACAACAATCAGGAGGTTTGTTCACTTAAAAGATTAACTCAAAAAATCTCAAACAATTTATACAAAGACAAATTATGGTGAAAAGTGTGTGACTTGGATTTAAATATTTGGATAGCGACCAATTGAATGCAGAAGATAGACTTTTGGATAAAGACACTAAACGACAAAAAAAGTAAATGAAGTAAATAAATTTAATGTAAGTGCTTTGAATACGAAAAGGTTTGTCTTTGCAAACTGTTTCGCTCTATGACTCGGATACTCAGGTTTTATAGAGAACTTGTGACCTCGACTACAATGCATAAGCTTGAATTATATACTATTACAAAGAAAACTGTCAACCACAGTTAAACCTTATAAATCTGACATGTATCCCACTACCTAGGTCTTCCTGTTCCAACTTGCCTCCATGTGTCTTCAAGGATGTAACTGCTAAAAACCAACCAAATGTGGCGATAATCGGCGATATGTTTGAAAGAGAAAGTGATCATAATCTTAAAGATTTGTTCTTAAGACTCCTTTAAACCATTATTGTCCTCGACTTCACTTACAACTTAGTCGAACCAATAAGTCATTACAGCTAATATGTCAAAACTTTTGACTTAAGTTTTTAGACATTTAACAATGTCAATGTAATATAACCATCAATCTATTAACTTTTTTACTTATCTAAAAATCTCAGACTAACAACAAAATAAAATAAAAAACATCATGATTCAATTGCAACCCTATTATAATTTGGTTAGAAAATGATAATTAGGACTTATGTTAAACATTTATGTCCCGAACATTATATTATAAACTCCTTAATTGAAACTTTTAATTGATTTCTTTACCATTTATATTATGAATAGTTGGTCTTTCTCTATACCTCCCCATACAGAGTAATGAATCTTCTAGACTAAGCACTTTTTGTTTTAGATTTTTGAAAGAAAAGTATATATTTTAATTATGTTTGTAAGTAAACTTTTTAAAGAAATTGTCTTATTAAAAAATATATTTTTGTTGAAAATAAATTCTTATTTAATTAATCTAACATATTTATAGTTTTTTCAATCATATATAAGAGAAACTACTAGACATGCATTATTTTTAACATGAATAACTTTTAAATCATGATTTATAATATTTTAAAATTTTCTAAAAAATAATCTAAAAATTACTTACATAAAAATAAAAATAAAAAACAAACGTTCTCTAAATTAAGTAATAATAATAAACAATAAAAAAGCAACAATTGAGGTCCTGAATGTTCCAAGTTTACAACCCCTCTGTTTTAACCTCAAATTGTGAGTGTAGCATTTTGTGGTTGTAAGTAGAGCCACCTCTGTTGGTTTTATCATGTGTGGACAAATGAAGCCACGTGAATGAATTACCTTTTAGGATCTTTTTACACACTACGTGGAATTTAAATATCCCTCACAATGCTTTCCACTTTATTCTATATAAACAACCTTCTTCGTTGCTTCAATTACCAAACCTTTACCATCTAAGGTGTTAGAATTTACAAAGCCATTCTCATCCTTAGAAAAGATTCTATCTCTTTGGTTCTTGAGTTTTGCATTGTAGCATTAAGGAACTATTATCAATGGCTGTTTCATCTTGTCAATCTATCATGTCAAGTTCCATGACCAGCATTTCTAGCAGATCTGGAGTTAACCAGTTTACCAACATCCCTTCTGTCTACATTCCAAGCCTCAGAAGGAATGTTAGCCTCAAAGTTAGATCTATGGCTGAGGTAATTATGCTTTTTCAAACATATTTTAAGGTTATATATTTAGTATTTGTTTATGCAGATGAAGTATGTTTACGATTCAAGAATGATTGGTTGATAATTACTTATTAAATTATTCAGGGAGAGCCGAAGGAGCAATCAAAGGTGCCTGTAGACCCAACGACACCAATTGCACCAACACCAACACCACAACCAGCCTATACTCGTCCACCAAAGGTGTGCATACTAACATATATTTGCTATTGTTTTTTCTGTTAGCTTATTAATATGAAGTTCAAATTTTGGTCTAAATTAAAATGACCCTTTTAACATGTAAAAGTGATGATACTATGGCAGATGAGCACCAAATTTTCGGATTTGATGGCATTTAGTGGGCCAGCACCTGAAAGGATCAATGGAAGGTTGGCTATGATTGGTTTTGTAGCAGCAATGGGGGTGGAGATAGCAAAAGGGCAGGGTTTGTTTGAACAGTTATCCGGTGGTGGAGTTCCATGGTTCTTGGGGACAAGTGTGTTATTGTCACTTGCTTCATTGATTCCATTTTCTCAAGGCGTTAGTGTTGAGTCAAAATCAAAAAGTATCATGTCCTCAGACGCAGAGCTTTGGAATGGAAGAATTGCTATGTTAGGTTTAGTTGCTTTGGCCTTCACAGAATTTGTTAAGGGTACATCCCTTGTGTAATAGACTTCTTCGGGGACACGATTAAGATTTTTTAGGATACAGGGTGTGTTTAGAAATTATGTAATGTCATAAAGATTGCTCCAATTAACATCAATCTTAAGCTATTATCTTGATATTGACTTGTAGCCTAAAATCCATAATTGCCCAACTAAAATTTAAGTATATCTGCTTGGTGAATTTAACCATACAAATCAAGCGATACGTCCATAATCCGTCTTAATCATTACATCGATAAACACCATTTAGTATGATTATATTTGAGAGTAACCTAAATTTAAAGTAATGAAATTGTATTAATGAAATGAAAAAAAAATTGTATAATATTAAGAACGTATCTGATGTGAAGAAAGTCTTTACCGTTGTAGACACTAAAATTAAATTAAATAGAGATATTGTAGGAAACTTAACCGTCACAATTGGAATAACAATGTTCAGGAATTATATGCCATCTGAATGAGAATAACTATTTTAACTCAAGGTCAAATATGGTGACGGGTAATAAGTTTTGAGAATTTCTTTTTATACACTGAACTTTTACCACACAATTTGAAATTCTAAAAATATTTCATGATTTTAGAAATATATTTGGACTTACTAAAATTTAAGTAAACCTTAGAAATATTTTAAAAGTTAATATATGTCCGACTCTTCTCCTCACTTTTCATTTTTTTCACACACAAATCTTCAATTCTTTTCATTCTCAATATTCTTTAACATTGTCAAATCAGATTTCATCAATAAGAGGCTCCAGAAAACTACAAATATCAACCATTTCATCATTCAACAACATCCAAATCATAAATTTTAGATATGTTTTTCGAGTTTTAGTGTGTGCATTGTTAGGAGAAGAAATGTATAGATATCATATGCAATATTGTTTAGAATTAGTGTATGCGTTGTTTGTTGGTTCAAATGGACGATCAGATGTTTATTTTTCACAATGCAAATAAAAGAGGACGCCGTTGTTGGACCTTTGAGTTGCATAATATTTCGGAAGTACATTTCGGAAATTGTTCAGCGTCTAGGATATTTTAGAGATGCATCTCCAGAAGTATTTAAAATAAAAAGATTTAAAGTGTTTTTAGAGATGTATCTCCGAAATATCATGCAATCTACTTTTTTTATTTGTTTGTGTTGTCTTCGCTAATGATACGACGTAATTTACTTTACGGGTATTATGACTGACAGAGCCGACAAACTGAGACATTGTCGAGTTGTCCAACATACATCCGTTCGACGGGAGCGGAACCAACAGGTACATCTGATCAGGCAGAGGCGCAGGCATTGACACACGTAATATTAGTCTTTTATTATGTTATAAGTCTGTTTTTTCAAATTAAAAAAAAATACAGAGTTCATCATTTTTAAGAAAACATATTGTGATACACTTCAAAGATGTATCTGCAAAATATTACCGATAATGCATCTCTAAAACAATTCAAATGTAAATCGGACATGAGTGAAAAATGCCTAATGCTTAACATTTAAAATTATTTTAAAGATGTATCTTCAAAATACAGCATTGTTTACTCAAAAATAGAGTGCGTCTGAAGATGTATCTCCAGATTCAGAGAACATATGTAAAAGTTAACATTGTGCATAAGAAACACTTAGAGTGTAAAAAAAAATTCTCTAAGTTTTAGTGTTATCTAAAAGATAAAAGAGTTTTAAGTAAGAATAATTAATAATTATATTCATTTATCTAAATATTAGTTGATTAATTAATTTCAATGTAAAAATTGAATCTACAATCAAAAACTCTAATTTTTAGCTAAAAATGATAATTTATTTTACAGACGAAATCTATTTTACTCATAAGCATTTAATCATATCAAAATGAATTTTGGCTTTTTCAAAAGTATGACTAAAGACACACTGCAACTGAAACCAAATTTTATATTACTTTCTCTTGTCTAACACTTCCACATTTGATGAATGATAACAAACATGTCATTAGATATAACACCAGGCATTGTATAATTTGGAACAAAAATATTGTCATATAAATTTTAACAAGAATACTGACACAAAGGTAGACACGTAATAGAGAACGTGGAATTCTATGATCTACAAAACCCGTGTAATTGGTATTAGCACGAACACTATACGCTACACTTATTCAATACATGGATATCTCATTTTCATCTAAAGGAATGAACCTCTACACTCACATATTATATGAACAGAAAGAATGACAGAACAATACACATCATAGCATCTATTTTTAAAGAATGTCAGAAATCTTATCAGCTACTTCATATGTACAAATAGCTATTATATTTTGCAGCCAAGTTTTGTACTAATAATACAAGCATCTATGGATCGAGCTGATACTCAGGCTTGTCAAAATCACCATTTAGGAGTGTGCTTTCCACCACCCCATTTACAAGTTTCTGCAATTCATTCATAAAACAAGTCAATGACAGAAACAGTGTGAAGAAATCAGCATACAAAATTGAGATCATGCTGTATAACTGTGGGGTTTGATTGTGTCAAACAGACTAGACTTAGGTTTCTTAGATGATAAATGTGTCTGATATGTTTATCCATCATAATAAAAAAAGAAAGTGCAGTTATACAACTTGATTAGAAGTTGCATTACTTGCATAAACATACACATACTAAAACAGAAAAGGATAGTCAGATACGTACTCCTGAGTGTAGATCAACTGGAAACAAATTGATGGCTTCTGTGTTGAATGTAAATCCACTGGAGAGGATATGATTTTTGCATTAGTGTGACATGCACAGAATGAAAAAATTGAAAGGAAAGAAAGACATTGGTAGAACAGAATTAACAAAAGTTTAAATAAATAATGAGATAGTAGAATTAATTCCCCTAGACCTAGTGTATCCCAAGCCTCGGTACTTTTGATTATTCAAGGTTGGTACTGACCGAACAAGCATATGGAGTTTACAGGCAGAATAAAACGAAATAAGACACAAGTAAAATATTTACTAGAGCTGAGACTAAAGAACCATACCAATGGGATAGTACAAGCTGCCAGACATATGGGATAAAAAACTCCTCTGGATGGCTCTCTTGTTCATACATGAAGCGCAGTTGAGTAAACATCTGCCAAAAATAAACACAGCATCATAAAAACGGAACAAGTAATCTTCTTAAATTCTTAATCATATATTCCCAACTGGAAACAAGTCACAAATCACAATTGTTTTCTTATCTTACCTTCATCCCATCACCCCTCCAAGAACGACAATTGATGATTATCACTTGGAGCACTTCATTGACTGACCAGTCACCGTCCACTCTTTGAGCATCCATACGAGTATTGAAAAAATCTAAAACCTGCAAATATTCAGTGGATACATGTTTCAGTGACACAACACATTGATGTAAAAACAGCACAAAACCCGCTCCTTTAGAAATTGCAAGAACTCAAAGGGTAAGCATCTATTATAACTCACAAAAATATAATGTATAAAACATACGGTGTAAATATTTTCAAGCAGTTCGTGGAAGCGTGGGTGACTCTTGTATGGCTGAAAGACTTCCTGTCTGTGCATTACTGCATACACTACCTGCTCCAGTAGAATAAAGCAATACAGTAATGTAAATTTTGATTATTTTGAACTAGATAAAAAGAAATCTAATAAATCTACAATTAATCAAGTAGAAAATCAAATCAAACCTCTGGATTCCGAGGCAGTGCATAAGTCAGGATTGCATTGATTATTTCTAGTACAAGCCTCAAGAAGTCAGTATAAATTTGCAATTCAGTTGACTGCATTAAAGGAATACATAATAATTTAGAAAAAGAGTGGTCTAACGGTTGTAATCAATAAGAGCCACAAAAGCACTAGACAATATATTATATATATATATATATATATATATATATATATATATATATATATATATATATATATATATATATATATATATATATATATATATATATATATATATATATATATACCACATCTTCTACAAAGCTGTTTCCTTCAATTGAGTTGCCTTTTGCATTATGAAGTTTATTATCTCTGCGATCAGCTAATTTGTTATACCTAATGAGAAGGAAGGATATTGTCAAATTTTTATATCAGAGATCACAATCAGCTCTAAAAGGTCTACATTTTAAATGGAAATGGTACATTATGAAGGTAAAGAAAGAAGGGAAACATACTTGCGTGAAAGCATATCAAAAAGGCTAACTAGTCTTTGAGATGCATATGCACTCAAACGATGGATATGAGGTGCCATGTTAGCCAAAGTTGCCAGACATGTTGTGTGGAGATATACATCCTATCATTATTTTAATGCATAAGAACCGATTGTCAGAAGAAAAAATCTACACAAAATAAGAGCAGTTTAATAGTTCAATCCACATAAACTACTTGTGTAAACTTGTATCAGAAACATTTCTAAGATTGAAATATGTCAATTCTACACATATCTATTGGCATGCGATATACGTAATAATCACTGCTTTTTGTATATAGAACAAATCTAAATGTCTTCTTAGAATTTCAAGGCAAATCAAGGTTATAACAGTAAACCATGCCAGATGCAATTAAACATCAGAAGAAATTCAATATACGCCATTGAGGGTTAAATATCATCAAGTGAACTAGAACTAGGGGTGCTCATGGATGGTTAATGTCCATAACCAATCCATAACCATAAATAATCCATATGTTATAACCGGTTATTAAAACCAATTCTCATAACCGGTTTTTATCTTTTAAAATGATTATAAACCGGTTATATCCATAACCAATTTTATAATTAGTTTTGAATTAATTTTATTTTAAAATTGATTTTTTCAAAATCATAATATTTTTTTTATAAAAAATATTATGTTAAAAAAAAACAATAGTTATTTTAAAATTTTAAAAATAAATAATTTTTATTTACTGAAAAAAATTAAAACAATATTTTTTTTTAAAAAAAAATTTCAAAGTTTTTTTTTAATTAAAAAAATTGACTAATTTGGTTTTTATTTTGAATATGGATGTCCAAATTAAGGATTTGGTTAAAACCATATTAAAAATATATCCAAAATATGGATTTGGTTAAAACCATACTAATAATTAACCGGTTTTTAATAACTGGATTTGGATATGGATATGGATTATTTAAATATCCGGTTTATTTGAGCACGCTTAACTAGAACAGGGAAAATTAATTGCCATGAAAGAGAAACAGAGTAGTCAACAGTATCAACAGGTTTATATATTCCACCAATAGATACTGATAACAGTGTCACACCTCAGTAATAACCATATTAATTGGCCAGGTTTTGCATTCAATGTATATGTAACATCTTAATTAAGTAATCACCAAGTAGAAAAGGGCATTTGATAAATTAGATACAACTTACAATAGAATAAATTAATGGGAAATGCTAACCAGTGCCCTCGGGGCACTTTTTAAAACTTTAAATAGTAAGTTTCTAAATTAATAATCTAACTAAGTTTAAGAATCATACCCGTAGTTTAGACAAATTATACTGTACAGTTCTGATAAGAATTATGACCATAAGAGAACCAAGAGAGGTCTGATGGAGAAGACGTTCTTTGTACCATGGAACACCCGTCAGTATCTGCCCATTTATATAGCAAATTAACATTTAACAAAATTGTTGCAGTTCCAGGCATATTGTAATGGAGAAATACAACTCTTACCAACTTATGAATGCTTGCATTGAAAGAAGAGTCTTGACTAAGTATAAGACATACAATCAGCAACATGTATATTTGATTAGCTGTCCTCATTGGAGCATTGTATAGAGCTTCCAGAATCGGCATTAACTGTTAATGTCATAAACAAGAATCAGAGTAAGACTTAATCTTTAGTCGTGCTAGATGTTATCATTTAAGTGACTTAGGGAAAATGAGTGCTACTTCTACGAAAAACAAGGTGGCAAGTGTTTGTTTAAAAAATAAAAGGGGTGTGTATGTCATTTAAAGATGTCTCAAAGGAGGTGACTGCAGTTTCTCCCATAAATTATAGTAATAAATTCATTCCATTTTCTTTCATTAGAGAAATTCAAGTTTGCTCTCATACCAAAGTATCTATATCAGTCCGCACCAAGACATACTCCAAAAAGGAAGAATTTCCTTGCAACAACGAGTAAAGCAGTAGGACCGCTGTCTCATCAGTTAAGCACCTGTAGAGGAATAAAAGATACCAGGTTTTTAGAAAACAAATGTGAAAAATCCAAAATAATCAATTGCCACTGGTATGAGTGTCTGACAGTAAACGACAACTTATGAATACATATAAAAAAATATCCAAACTGGCAAGAAATCCATGAGTTCTAGCTGTATCTATGAGCAGGGAAAATGGAGGACACTTAATAAAAAACTGGAATCATAGTCCACAGGATAATCGAGCTTCAAACCAAGAAAATAAAGTAACAGATACACAAAACTGTAAGCAACAATTCTGTGCTAACATATATAAGATGAAATCCATACTGCCTGACTGGAGAGCAAATATGAAATGGGGGAAATTGGAATAAATTGTGATTTCTTACTTTTATTTTACTTTCCCTTCCTTCTCTTTGATATAAGTATTGATTGGTGAACAGAAAACTAATTGGTGAATCAATTTTCGCAATATCATAATAAGATTGATCTACAACTGGCATATATTCTGATCATCACAAGTTACCACCATAATAATAATAATATACAATTACAAACATGTGAAATAAATTTTCAGAGTTTGACTCAATTAATAAAAGTAATATGGGCATCATATGGACGTAATAATAGTATACTAATTGTCAAACATATACAGGCACCAAGATACTCACGTGCCAAGTGTATCAAACAAAGAAGCAAAAGGTAACTTTATGTGTTGACCACTGTGCGCATTGCCTTCAACGTCTACACGATCCACTGCATTTAAAGACTGATTAAAAACGGCTAGCTTTCTTAATCAATTAAAATGGTATATGTAGATATGAAAAATGTATTACATTCACAGTCAATTGCATTCTCTAAGGCTTTGCAGTAAGGGTTGTCGGAAAAGTGAATATTTTCTTTGAGTAATAAATCTGAAGCTGAAGATTTTTTATTCTCAATGGCAGAGTAGTCTTCACTCATAGCACATTTATGATAATGAATGAGAACAAGAAGCACGTCAAGACTACTATCCGCTATAGGATTTCTTGACCCTTCGCTGCTTGAACTGACCAAATAACTGAATGGCAATAAAACAATATTTGCTGCAAGGCAATAAATCAAAATATAAAACACCTATCAAATAAGTTCCCAACTTTCCACAGAAGAATCTTGAAGCAATTAGAAAATAATAATAATAATAATAATAATAATAATAATAATAATAATAATAATAATAATAATAATTGTTAAGAGTTTCACATCGGATAATACATGACCTGAACATGTCTTTATACGTGGAGGCAATCCTTACCCTACAAGCCGGTTTTATAGGGTTGAGTTAGGCCCAACCACATTTCTTAACATGGTATCAGAGGCTCGTTTAAGATCCGGTGAGCCACCTGCTATCAGGTATGTTAAGAGTCCCACATTGGATAATATATGGTCTGAACATGTTCTTATAAGTGGGGGCAATCCTCACCCTACAAGCCAGTTTTATAGGGTTGAGTTATACCCAGCCACATTTCTTAATAATAATAATAATAATAATAATAATAATAATAATAATAATATCAATAAGGCATATTGGACTTCAAAAAATCCATAAATATTAAATAGAAAAGTATATCAAGTCACCAGTTCGTACCAGCTGCAGAACCAACTCTCTGCAGCACACTACTCTGACTTTCGTCATAAAAGATGGGATAAGTTGCCCTATTGAATGGAACCTTAGGGCGGATAATGAAGCTTAGAAGTAATTTACGGACAACTAAACCAACCAGAGAGCTGTCCTGCAAAAACAACAATGTGGTAACCTGTTATTTATCAGCAAATAAATAATAACTCAATGAACAACAGTTGATGTTAAAATCTCAACTTCTAACCTGAGCCATCGCTGCATCAATAAATGGGTTCACATCATTTGGTCCAGGAGATGGTCCACAGAGAAGCTGGGTTGACATTGCAATGGTCATGAAATTAAGCAGCTCTAGATGTAGAAGAAATGTGATGGGACTACAATAATAATTTTAAAAAACTGTCATGACAGGTAGTTCACACAATAACTCAACAAGAATTAGCCGTCAAATACTTATGAGTCGAGATATACCTCACTTCTACTGATACTATAAAGTTCAGTACATTCCGCATTACGAGATTTACAATGGTTTGATCTGTATAAATTTTTTATTAAAAAAAAAGTTAAAAGAAATTTGGATAATCTAATCACCCTGGAAATGCACACATAGAAACAAACAGAGACTTGAAAGGAGAAAATGAAAAATAAATTATGAATCACATGAAACATTAAAAATTTTCAAATCATACTAAACTAAAATTCATGCATATATGATATATGATGATATATCCAGTGCTATCGATGGCAAGTGGCCAAAAATCTGCCATGTAAACCCGCTGTTGAAGCCTATTGGCTATTGTGCCACCATGGTGGGCGTCCCTTTACCTTGTCTATGACGGTTGTCAAACAATACGCCACACCATCGCCACCATTTAACCACACTGCATAAATCACAGACATCAAATGCAATAATTTGCAACACGTTAAGCAAAGTAGGCACCAAAATCCAGCTCAAGCCTTTTACATGAGTTTTATATGCAACAGTTCAATGACAACGATATGTATGTAGGTAGGTTTGCAGATCTAAATTCTAAATATGAAATACCGACATGTGTTTCGTTTTGCATTGAAAACCTTCTGAAATCATGGTTCTAATCTACAGATCCCAAGAGTAAAATCAAACATGCATTTATGCATACCTCCCAAAACATCCTTCAGTACAGCTTCATCACCATCAAAAGAAAGGTATAACTGGAAGCCACTTTCAATCAGGTGCTTCAAAAACACGGAACTGATATAAACTGCATTAGCAGCCTTTTCATAAACCAAAGGTGACACAGCAGAAGTAGACATGAACTCTTGCAAGTAGCATGCTAGATGGAACAAAAGCTTTGCAAGATGCCTGGTGTGACAATTGTTTTTGGCTGCAAAACAATTAAAAATATCCCAAAGCAAAAATTCAGATAAGAACTTGCCAAGTAAATTTACTCACGTTAAAATCGGCATAATGAGCACATTACATCCGATGCAATTGAAGAGATTAAAACTAAAAATTATCCAGAATCACTTCTCTTTAAAACCAAATATTCTGATAGAGCATAAATAGCATTTAAAACTCCTTGATGCTATTAAACTTTTTTTTTCACCACCAGTATCAGGTCCAGTCCACGGTACAAACTAATCCGGTTCGGGAGTCAGTTCTAGCATCAAGTGATTCTAAATCCCTTCCGATCACAGTTGCAGGGGTCGAACCGTGGTCCTCTCTACCAAGTCCAGCATCAATTACCACATGACCAATTAACTATTGGTTGATGCTATTAAACTTTTGTGAAAGGTAAATCACACTTCAACAATCTACCACCATAGAACTTAAACTAATTCAATATTTTATTAGAATTCAATTTTCTGAGACATCACAAATAGCATGCTGAACTCCTTCCTATTATCATCATTTTGGGATAAAAGAAAAATCATATTCTAACATTCTAGTCATTGAATTCAATAAAACCTAGCTATTAGCTATTGTTATTGTCCACAAATGGATCAATTGAAGTTTCCCCTTGAATCCATTATCCATTCTAAGCCTAAAAACAAATTGTAATCAGAAGAAGACTAACCTAACAGCTCACAAGCTTGTTGAACACGTTCAGTAGGCCATTGGACATTGAGAGGAAGCTCCAACAATTTCTGCCAAAACTCCGACGAGAAAGGAAAGGACTCACCGCCAACAAAAGTCCCGATCAGATACTCCACTGTCTCCGGCGAGAATTCACTACCTCTACGCGGCGTTGATGGTATCGACCCCATTCGTGAAAAAAAACGGTTATTATCGGCGTTAGTGTTCAAATCTCGTTTGCTCTGATTCGGTGAAAGATTCAAAGAAGCGGCATTGTGTGAAAACTCGCAGAGAGATCAAAAGTGATTGATCCAAACACGGAAACGGAGATGCGTTTTGAAAATCTCGACGGTTCGTGAAGCAGAAAAAGGGAACAGAGAGAGTGTGAAAGAAGAAGAGAAGAAGAAGAATGACAAAAGGAGCTTCTTCGAAACGAAGGTTTTGCAGAGAAAATTGAATTAAATTAAGGACTTGTTTGGATGAGCGGTTATTATCTGTTAATACTAATAAAGTTTCGACGTCGCCGATAGGGATAAAATGCAGCTATCCAAACAAGTCTTAATATGAATTTCCTTGAAATCGATTTTTTTTATTTTTAATATTTATTTAATTAAATTAAATACAAAGTATGATAAGTATAACTATCGTAATTCGTCAATAATAAGACAATAATAACATAAATTAAATGTTTTATATTGAATAATTTTATATTTTGTTGAAATTAGTTGGTATAGCCTAGCTTTCGGACTTTTTGATATTTGAATATATGAATATAAAATGTGATAGATGGATCTATTGCATTGTAAATGGATAATTAACTACACAAATTGTGGATAAAGTAGTTGTAATTATGGAAGAATAACTTATGTACATAATCTTAATGACCTAACATAATTGTGCATTTAGCCTAACGCTTGACTAATATATATATATATATATATATATATATATATATATATATATATATATATATATATATATATATATATATATATATATATATATATATATATATATATATATATATATATATATATATTAAATCCTTCCTAAAAAAATTGGATATGTTTGTTGTAAGTTGTCAGCTATTTGAATATTTCTTTTTTTAAATAGTTTTGAAAATTACAAAATTTATTTGAGATAATGGAGGCAACTAAAGTTCTGAAAATTTGATGATTTGATTAGAAATTTAAAAAAAAAATAGGAATAGAAACTAAAGAGAACATAAATGAAAATTTGACAACTCAAAAGAAAAAACAATACGATCAATTCACATAAACAAAGTAAATAGATAATTAAAAAAAAAGGAACCACCCCTTAATGAAATAAGGTAGAACTTGACCGAAAGAAACCACTATCTACAAAAGAGAAATATTGAGGACACTGCCAAGAACTCTCCACTGCAAAGCCAAAAACATTCACTTCTTTATTTGTTCAGCCAAATAGTTAGGTTTGCAAGTCAAGCAAATAAAACGCAATAGTTCTCTGTTTATCTACCAAGATATCATTTCCAAACTAGAAATATGCTCTTATCTTTCACATCCTTCATGCTAACAGAGACACTTGAGAAAACAATGTCATTCTAGAATTTTCAAATCAATCAAACTACAACATCTCAGATCATAAATAAGTCGCTCTTCTCCAATGTCCTACCTCCCAACGATCAAGACAAAACAAAATATTATTAAGTTTTCTAGATAGAACAAAGCATTGACTGAACCACCTAAAAAATGTGTACCAAACCAACACAGCCATATCACATACCATAAATAGAAGGGCAACCAAATCAACATTCTCTCTACGCAACGAGCACATAACACCTTTCAGATCCACTAACATCATATGCTTAAAAATGTTTTCTCTAATATGAACCTTCTCTTGAAGAAGTTGATAGGAGAACATAATTACTATAAATGGGATATAACTTTCTCAATGAATGGGAATAACTAAAATATTTAGATTAACTAGAAGAGCAACATGGGGATCGTGCTTAATGAGCACAAATAAGCAGAGGCGACAAAAAAAACTCCATCCTTAGCATATGATCACCACCACCCATCAAGTTTCGGGGAAAATATAATATCATAAATGTCAAGATGAAGGTTAGAGATCATAACCTAATGATAGACGAAGAATGGTATTTTCCATTTTAAATCTAAAGATAAAATCCTATCTACTAACATTCCCATCTAACAAAGTGCTAATAACTCAATCTTACTAATCATACATAATAAAAATCCTAGGAAACCAATTATATAAAAGGATGAATCTAATGCACAAATCCTTCCAGAAGGAGGTATTGTTACACATCCCACTCTCTTACTAAGATGGGCTACAAACCAATAAGACGTGTCATTAGTTTTGAAGCCCATGAGAGACACCTATTTTTTAACAGGGTGAAAAAAAGCGTAAACATATTGCCTTTCCACCTAAAGGTGACAAAAAAAATATGGACATCATAACTGGCAGAAAGGATATCACACTAGAGGCTAGAAACGTCCAAAATAAGCATTTATCTCCACTTAGTCAACAAGATCAGATTAACCAAGCGAATATCATGAATTTTCAAATTCCCTATATGTTTTGACTCACAAATATTGTCCCACTTAACTCATGCAATCTTAGCCGCTCCGTGAACCTCTCCATGGAGGAATCTTCTCTAAAGCCTAACAATCTTCATTCAAACCTTGATAGACATTTTGTTGAAAGACAAGAAGGGTATATGAATAGCATTAAGGACCGAGTTGAGAAAAATTATTTGGCCTTTAAATTGATAGATAGGAAAAGCCAAGAGTTTAACCGTATAAAAACTGCATTTTTCTCTTATGAAAATATCTAAAAGAATAAGTTAAAATTTAGATTAAATACATTTATTTTTACTGATTTAATTTTCCTATATATAAAACAAAGTTTGTACTCCGTCTCTCATAAATAATATAAGTTATTTGGTTAAAAATATTTTTCTTAAATTACAAGTAATTTTACAATTTTAATATAACATTAATGATTTTTTTCTTAATATACCATCTTTATTTATTATCTTTTCTTCTTTTAGTTCGCTTAATTTCTCTTTCCTCTAAAATTAATGAAGGACTATATTGCAAAATCATAAATAACTTTCCTTTTTATACAACTATTTTTTTAATATGTGTAACAAAATTAATTATTGTTTTAATATGTGTGAAATGTTCAAAACTTTTAAGATTTATGAAAGTAATACTGTTTGAGTTTAATATTCCTTTTAGGCTTGTAATTTAAATTAAAAATTTATTTTGCTCTCTTAATTTAAAAAATATTTATATTAATTCCTTAGCTCTTAAAAAATTAAATAAAACAACAATTAACATAATATATTTTTAAATTTAATGATTAACTTTTTGTCTAATTAAGTGATTAATTTTTAAATTTTTACATTATTAATTAAATAAAACTAATTAACATAATATAGTTTTTAAAATTAAGAAATTAATATAAATTTCTTTAAAATTAAAGAATCAAAATGATACCGAAATTAACCTAAGTAATAAAAAGATATTAAGACTATTTATTATGATACCAAATAACTTACTAGGTGGTAAGCTTTTTCAATAATAATAAAATCATAATTATAATTAAAATAATAAAATATTTTTAAAAAATTGTTGAAAAGAGAAAGTCTTTGAATCAATTTGTGGGTAAGGTTGTTCCATTAGTAGATCATTCACCACTTCAGTGGATATTGGCCACGTAGAATAAATATATAGAATATACATTGACAATTCCACTCCACCGACAAAAAAGAAAACAAATAGTAGTACTTATTTGTTTTATTGTAAGATTTTTTTTGAAGTATTTGTCTTTAAAATATCAATATACTTTTATTTATTAACTTTAAAGAATATTCTTTTTTTACGGATTAAGAATTATATTCTCATTTAGTTAAATAGTTTGACCTAATTTACTACCACTATTTTAAATTGCTCTACAGCTATTTTTTGAAAATTATTTTAGTTAATATGAATATTTTATTTGTAAGATATTACTACTTATGTTTATTATTAGTTATGATATTTATCAAAAAAAAATTATTCATTATTTTTATTTTAATGTGCCATTAATTATATATTTGGAAATGATATTTTTTTTAATTATTTATTGAAGAAAAAGAAAGAAATAAAATAAATAATTATAATATAATATAATAATAACAATAATAATATTAATAAATAATAAAATTTATCAATGATTGTAAAAATAAAAATTAATAATATGTAAAAAGCAACATTATCTTACAATAAAATTCGTATAACTAGCTATAAGTTTTAAGAAATTGTATGTGATTTGTTATAGATCTGAAGTGATTAATCCTAGACTTGTTTGTTTAGGTTTGAAGATAGGTTTGTAGTCGATATCGATATTTTGTCTATTGTCAAGGGGGTACATGCATATACTCAGATTGTGACTATTAAAAATGTTGAAGAAAATGTGTACCTTATTTTACTATATTCTATATTTTTATATTTCAATTTTAGGGTTTTGAGACCTAGAATCTTATGTTTGTAGAATAGTTGTTTAAGAAGATAAATGTCGGGGGTATTATTTGTTATATGATCTATTGGCCTCACGTGGATCACTTGTATTTATTAGGTGTTTTTTTAAGGCAGGACCATGCGCATTCTCGAGGTCCTACGATCTTTTTCTTTGGGATATTTTATTCATTGTGTTTGATGGTATTTCAGTTTTGAACTAAGAAATCCTATGTTTAGAAATCAAAATTGACTCTTATTTGATATGAGTTCATGCACTTATTGAATCGTTTAAATATATTTGACAACCCATATGAGAACAATATGCTGAAAGTGAGAAAAACACAAGAAAGATGGTTGAATTGTGTTGACTTTTTCTTGATTTTTAAAATTTTTGGTTAGATTCTAAACTCAAAGTATATAATCTAATTAAATCAGAGGTAAGCAGCATATATGAAATACAAGAAAGAAGAGTAACACACAGAGTTATCCAGGTTCCTCTCACAACTTTAGAGCAATCTAGTATCTTGTACTTATAAGAGATTTTCACTACAATCACACAAGATTACAAATTGCTCAAGCCCACAAGCAAGAGACTTTCAATGCTCAAACACTAAAGTAAGAGACTTTTATGTTCAAGCACAGAAACAAGAGACTTACAATGCTCAAGCATACAAGCAAGAGAC